ATATGGCCTTTTACGGGGATGTTTTGTGAGAATGTAGCGCTGAATAGCAGTACGACAAATTTAAACGAACTGGCTTTTATACGAACTAGTCCCACTAGCCAGCTTTTATGAATAATTCACCCGACGTTCAAACACCTGTTTTTCATGATGCATATTTTCCAATAAAACTGTGACTACACAGAATGAATTGTATGACACTAGAATTATAAGTATGTGTTCCAGAAGACGTGTTAAATCAATAATGACTCACTATTATAGCAATCTGTAGATTTATTGAGACATTGCGTTAACATTTCTGTGGAAATCTGATATTACTTTGAATTACTATTATTTTTTTAGTTATAATTACTATTATTTTTAAGTAATTATTTGATATTCTTTTTTTTTTAATTTTTTTTTTTACATATTGTTACATGGCGTGTTTCAACCCTCAGAACAGTATCATAGGCCAAAAAAAATAGTTCTGCTTTCGGTTACCCTACCTACCCTATTTTTACATTCCCATAATTTTTTTTTTTTTGGAAAAATAAGGAAAAAACCACCAATTACTACCTTTTACCCTTGATTACACGCAGACACCTCCATATGATCGTACATGGGAAAAAATGCCCCAAAACACCCCTAGTTTCATATGCCATGTAATCGGGAGCACAATTATTTTTTGGGGTCCTTATTCGTCTTTAAACGGACAAAGTTAATTTTTGTTGGTGATGTTTGTTGTCCTATACAAGTATCCTCTGCTGACAAAAACTATTCAAGAAAGGTCTCTGAATTATTTTGTTTGCAACTGCTGTTTATTAAAATAACATTTGATTTAACTCACTGCGTAGCTTTCAGCTCGGTATTTGTTTGGTGCAAATACAATAGCAGCAATATAATAACTGCATAGATTGTAGTAGGAAATGGATAGGCTAAGCATGCTGTGTAGAGGACTGTACAGGGTGAGTAAAAAAAACCACGAAACCCAAATGACAGGACCAATTTTAGAATGAAGTTTTGCCTGTAGCACTCTAAAAATCTAGGATTTGAAAGCCCAATGAATGAGCTTTCTTTTAGAACAAGAACCATTCAAATAACTCATGTACTGTTCAAGTTACGGACTATTTATAGAACACAACCACCGTTTTAAGTTCTGTCCACGGATCGCAAAAAAAGGTAAGTGTTCTTTCAACAAAACGAAAACCATTTACATGCATCCCTATGACAATTGTTTTCGTTTTGCTGAAAGAACGCGGACTTTTTTGTGTGATCCGTGGACAGAACTTTAAAACTGTGTTTGTGTTCAAAACTCCGTAACTTGAAAAGTACATGAGTGATTTGAATGATTCTTGTACTAAAACAAAGCTTAATGTCTGGGCTTTCATATCGTAGATTTTGAAGGTGCTACAAGCAAAACTTCATTCAACCATTGGTCCTGCCATTTGAATTGCGTCTTTTTTTGACTCACCCTGTATACAGGACAATGACTTGTCGTTCGGAAGATTATACATGCAGATAATACGTGGCACGAGGCATTTTGATATAACACTTGCCTTGGGGGAGGTTAATTAACCGTCGTGAAATTGGTGCGATAGCATATACATTACCTAACGCAATGACATACTACCGACACGCTATAAACATGACATCTTCCAATGTGTACCCTACCAACCAGTAAAACAGCATGCGCAATGTACATACATGATATCTTCCAACGCCTACCCAAACCAATAAAACAGCATGCGCAATGTACATTTATGTACTGAGAGGGAATCGAATATACTAATGTCAACAAAAAAATGACATTGACCGATTAGGAAAAAACCGGTGAGTTAAGGACAAAAGCGGCTGTACTGAACACATTAATTATGCATATAAAGGCAGCTTTAAAGGGACACTACTAAATAAATTAAAAAGGCAGAGGCTGATAGCGGGCAACGATGGACGACAAAATCGTGAACGCAAAAATGTGATCAAATGAAATAGTCGTAAGCTCTCCATTATGAACACATAGCAATAGAAGGAAGTTTCAAAATTCAGTTTCCCCAAATTAAGATGTTCAATAAACCGAAATTGTTGTTGATGACATAACAGGAATAAAGTAGGGTTATTTGTCTGTTCTCTCCGAGACTAAATCGTAGTTTCTGTACAGGGTGACCCCCCCCCCCAAAAAAAAGCACCCCTAAGACATTTGCCTTTAAAAAAAAAGGGATTGGTGGATTTGAATGTTTTTTTTGTATGAGATTAAAGAAGAGAGCTTTTCCTTTCAAATACTTAAAAAAAATCATGAAAATAACACTTTTGGGTTGATGAGAAAATGTCAAATATGTAAAAGAAATCATTTTTTATCCTGTACACACAAAAATACCACAGTGAAGGAATTTTCACTGTACCTATTTGTGCATGTCCTAATCCGTACAAACAACACGGCACATAATATGACAAGAGTACAAATGAATTTGATGGGAATACCTTTCGTTTTGCACCCGAACAGGTATCTCATTCTTTCTAGTCCTATTTGAAACCCTTTCAGCATCATAAATATATCAAAATACTAAAGAAATTGCACAAAATTAAAGAAGGATTATTGCACAGAATACAGTAAAAAATTTTACTGTTTGAAGTACTTGTGTACAGGATGAAAAATGACTACTTTTACATAATTGGCATTTTCTCAGCAACCCAAAGTGCTATTTCATGATTTTTTTCAGTATTTGAAAAAAAAAAGCTCTCAGCTTTAATCTGATATCCAAAATATAAAAATCCACCAATCCCTTTTTTTCTTAAAGGCAAATGTTTTAGGGTTGCATTTGTTAGGTTCACCCTGTATAGTCTAACAATTGGGGACACAATTTGTGTGTCGTGCTCATACACGAGGATAGCTTTTTCAAAGCTGTGGTGAACTGTTCAGTAAAATTATGGTGTTTCCATTCTACTGTTTCAAATAAATCTTTCCATGATACAAGTGGAAATATTCGATATAAGTTTTCAGTTGCATTTCATATAACAGCTAACGAAACACTGTTACAACCTCCATAAGGCTGTCCATCAGACTTACGCCTGAAGGCATATTACGCGATCGAAATGACAGCCAGCGGCAATGAAGCAAACCTTGCTCCTTATTCCTGACTTGCCTCTTACACCTTATATCTTGCTCCGGACATTTCTTGAGGAGCACGACTTTACAGCTGGCTTTCCGAAGCACACTGATACGGAGATGTTGGTCTAGCTCTAGGCAGCTTGAATTCAGAGGTATAATCATCCATTCGTTCCAGTCAACATTGAAGTAGGCCTACTATATAGCCTATACAGTTTACCATTTCATGCCAAGGTCTGTATACATGTGTGACATTTTACTTCACAGCATCAATGCCGAGTGTTTCCATATCATTTTCCAAACTCTAGTTTCTTCCTAAATGTCAACCTTTAGTTGCCGTTACATTTCACCGATTGTTTACATGATAATTACTTAATGTTCAACGGGCTGAGTCATCCATCAGTTTACGTAAGATGTGATAGCAGTGCGTTTTCCTGAAATAAACATGAACGTATCGATCTAAATGACTGTGCTGGTTCCCATAGTTAGGTTAATGATACGATGCACATTAGCATATTTTCCGGGCACCGTCATGTATACTGTATTTTCGATTTTCTTGATTGTTAAGCATGACTGTTTCCAACTGGTAATGGTCGACATGATGGTCAGCACTAACAATTTATACTACCATCATATTGTACGTGCATGGCATTACAAAATAGACTTTGGGAACGAAATGTTAATTACCTCCTAACACATTGTCATTAATTTATGCAGACGTTGAATATATGCGTGTACATACCAAGGTCGTCATTATTGCTATCGTATGAAGATGTACGCCGCAATGTATGAATTGGCCCCATTGCAGACATGTATGTCACATTAGAAACCTCAAAACAGGCATTTCATACGATTGTGATGATTCGTTTTCCAACAGAAACATCGTCTTAGGTCAAATTGTGAAAAGGTAAATTATGAAACGATCTTACTTGACAACCAAATGCAACAGCAAATATCTGTGATATTTTTTTGTTTCTCGAAATATGGGCTGGAAAGATCGGTTATTTAGGATCAATGGAAATGGTGCAATTTTATTTGGGCATCTTACAATGCCTAAATAATTAGTAGGCCTATAACACTCGTGTAAAAAAAAATGTACCGACCGCTACTGCCCGATCTGAGTGCTCTGCCGTGTCGACAACCATGGTGCACGCGTTATAGGAATCCATGGTAATCGGCTTGAAATAGAAACATGTTATTGTCGAACTACAAAACCAGTCTGTCTTTCTAAAATGACCATGTCTTGAAAAAACAAACATATGATTGTTTTGATACAATTCTACATATTAATGTGACAACCTATTTCCAGCATAGCAATTATGCAGTCTGCAATATCGAAAGCATTCAACTTTGGCATTTTGTTTAGGCTCAAAACACTAGTTTTATTTGCTTGTCAATCCGAAGCTAAGCAATGAGTAGCTCTGGAACAAAATGTCATCGAGTGCACGGATTTTGTTGTATTTATATTGTTGTTTGATTTATTTTTTACACTGAAATTATATTGGAGTTCATGCATGGAACGATTTTGTTTCCTGTGTATGTTGAACGGACGTTGACGTTCATCTATATCTGACATGGCTGATCATGGAGGAATATTCCTCCATGGTCTGATGTATGCATGAACGAAAGGAAAGTGTGGGGAAACTGAAAATAAATTGATACCCATGATGGCATTCAATTATTAAGGCATACAAGAGATAGATGTATTGACTGCTTTGCGACAGTTTGAGTGTTACCTTTCACACCGGTCGTAACGTAATTGCCTGTTATATCACATTACTCATGACACCAAAAAACATGTAATATCTTCACCTGTGTGGTGGAATATCACAATCTGCAGCAATTCGTAAGCCAGGTTAATGATTGACAAGTGTGAAATGCCAAAGTTTGTATATTATTCCCGCACACCCATGAACACACTTACCTATTGTGGTAATGACTGTCATGCAGAAGTAGAAAGATCCTGTAAATTTCCACTGCACGCCGGCTTTATGAGGAACATATTTAATCATGGTTAGTCGTAAATCCTCCAAATCGTTCGTAGTCATATTGTAGTGTTCCTTGATTGTTTTGGTAATATTGTCCAATCGTACTTTCTCAGATTCCTCATATTGAGACTCGAGTACATCAAAGACTGCTGCTCCTGCTAGTAGATAAAGGAAGGTGGAAACAAGGAGGACCAGAGTCCGAACGTTTTGACGCTTCATGCTGAGGCGTACGGACAATCATATGGGGGATATTTCCAAACATGGGCGCCGAGTCAGCACACCGTCCACTTCACACACAGGAATGCCGTTGTACAATCGTGCGGGCCGGTTAGTAGTTGCTTTGCCACCGGCAATTCTGCTGTTGCTGGCCGTGTTGTGTGACAAGCTATAGGACTCCGGAGTCTGGTTGCTGCGCGCTGTGTGACTGGGGTCGCTCGGGCTATGTGTGTGGAAACCGTGGCGCCTCGATCGCGCCAGCTTTAGGAGAGAAGGATGCGGGTCGGGCTCAACCCAGCGCCGTGCATGTCAGATGTGGCGCAAATGTATTGAGCTCTGAATGGCCCCAGTGTCCTGTACAAGGTTAGGTGGACGACGACTGTTGCATGTGCGAAATGGGCTGAGGCTGAGGGACGCCGCTGTATTGTGGTGGAGGTCACAGATGGTGATGTGCTAATTTGGTGACTGGTGAAATACAGGTGTTGAGTTTAGTGGTGTCGCAGTGCTGAGGTCAATGTGGCGAGGAAGATTATGATGGCGATCAGTAATTGATGATGAGAACATCTATTTTTATAATTAAAATGACGCAGGGGGTGGATAGTAGAAGGACAAAACTGTTAGCAAATTTAGCCCTCACTCCGAAATTGATGTGCATTTTTCGACTTGCCTACAAATATAGCAAAAACAAACCATTAATGGCAAATCCCGCCTACCCAGAGTTAATACCAACGCACGTTATTTATTCTGGTTTTGATGAAAAACACACACGTCAAACTCCACACAAACATGAAGTCAATCTTGCCAACAACGGAAGAAAACATAGGCAAATGTGGATTGTCTCTTCCAACGTAGAACGTGTTTTACTGCCAGTGTTCGTAGTTGTTGTTGTTGGTGGGTTTTTTTTTTTGGGGGGGGGAATAGCTGCCAATAATAAATATCATATTTCTTTCTGAATAAGATGTTGCTGCGGCATGCATACAAGTGCGTAGTATTATTGGAGGTCTCCAGACCTATACAAATCAAGTAAATAAAACGCACCTGCGTCACGTCGATTTGTTCAAACAGATTTGCACAAGAAAACAACCAATATTTATTCACAAACATGTTGACAGTGGAGACCTTGTTTCGAGTTCACAAATTTCAAGGGGGTAATGTCGACAATCAGCTTTCTGAAAATGAAAATCCCCATCTAAATCAGTCATTTTCAGTGTCGTATATTACGGAAGGAGGAATGCAGTAGGCCTATGCCCAGTGGCGCACCCAGGATTTGGCTTTGGGGTGCTTACAATTTGTTTCCAAATTTTTGAGAAGTTAATTTTTTTTTCGAAAAATTTGGCCCGAAATTTTTGGCCGCAGAATTTTTTTCTTTTTTTTTTCCAAATTTTTGAGAAGTTATTTTCTTTTTCAAAACAATTTTGGCCCCAAATTTTTGGCCGCAGATTTCTTTTTTTTTTTTGGGGGGGGGGGGGGCCCTTTTTTTGACGTTGGTAGCGACACTTACACCCCTATTATACTACTCGAAAATAGGCCACTTACAATAACTTACATGTACATATCACCAAGGTCAAATTGTGCGACTACCCAAAAAATCCCCCCCCCCAAAAAAAAATACAACCTCTTGGGGGAGGCTCAAGCCCCCCCGAGGGCCCCCCCCCTTGGGTGCGCCACTGAGTATTCTCCCACTCCCAACAGTATTTGACGTTATTGACAAAAGAAAATATGAACGAAAGGAGAAACTGTCATAATGGTCCTAGGTAATTATCTCATAGACAGTTCCCGTATGCACGATTCAGCTAAGAAACAACATTAATGAACCAAACGCGACAAATTAATCATTCAGCCGTAAGGGAAAGTTTATTTTTAGCATGACAACTTAAAGGGCCCTTGTCATGTAAGTTTTGTAAATGCAATACTTGAAAATTCACCCTTGTGCCCCATTATGTAACCATATTTTTCAATTCTCATATTGTGATTTTTGAAGGGCATTTTGGCGCCTTTTTGTTTCTTATGAAATACAATTTCAATATTCATGAGCAAAAGTGTGACGCCATTTCAGACAGAAGACTCAATGTTACAGCTATTTCAGCACAAACATTTGCCACAAGTTTGGATATTTTGCTGCCGTGTATTTTCTTTTCTTTGGTGATTGGTTGTTGTTTCAGTACATGACAGTAAGCCAATGAGCAAAGTTTTCTCACAAATGTTTTCAATGGGCAAATTGGGTTGACAAATCGAGCAAAACAACCCTATACTGAAGAGTACGTGTCTTCCTGAATTCTGGCGATTCACAAAGCAGTGCGCCCCCAAGAGTTTGCCACGGAGAGTTCATTTTTCCCAGTGCATTGTGGGAGATGGTCGACAAATTCGCAGCGCGGGACATTTGAAATTGTTCGTTTTTCCCGTCAACTGTTTCGTAAGCGTATGAATCGAGTATTCTGTTTACCCTTTCTTTTCTTTTTATCCATATGGTGTTTTTTTGTACTGAGGCGGCAGAACGCTATGCCCCAATCTATGAGAAATTAGCTCAAGTTGTCTACTGATACTCATTCAAATGGGCCATGTTAAAACTTAAAAAATGGACTCTCCTTAGCAAACTCTTGGTGGCGCACACTGTAACAGCGCCCTCATTTGTCAGGAAAAGCATGGAAATTGTTTAACGTTTAAAAAGGTGCACTTTGCAATAAAATTAACCAAAAGAGGGATGTCTAATAGTTTTCATACATTTAAGAGCAGTAGAAAGTTGCACAACTTAAAATATGTTCCTAAGTAAGATTCATGTAATGGGCTCTTTAATTATCCACCACTGAGTAATTCTCTACCAAGACATTATACATGTACAACGAGCTTAATAAGTAAATAAAATATACAGGGTAAGTAAAAAAAAAAGTGGAACCAACCCCCCCCCCAAAAAAAAAAATTATATTTCATATTAAAAAAAAAAAATCATGTAGCACCAAAAATAATAATGACTGGAAAGCCAATTTCAAAACCTACTTATCGATGAAAAAATACTGCAATTGCTCAATCCGTTCAAAGAATATCACCAATTGAACGCAATGACCCTAAAACCTGTTTCGTCAAAAAAAAAAAAAAATTTATTGTGTATTCTTACTGTTTTGGAACAACAAAGAAAATGACACAGAATACTTGTTTCAACAACTGTCGACAACTGTAGTACACAATCTCTTTATTAACAACCCTGGTCAGGCAAACAATATTGATTGATAAAAACCTTTTTTTTTTTGAAAAGACGGGCCTCAAAAGGACTGTATTGAATATTTTAAACTTTTAAAGTGAGGTTTTATCGCTGGTGATGCTTGAAGACAATTGTGACGACGAGTCTTGAAATCGCATTTTTGGACGAAAGAGGTTTTAGGGTCATTGTGTTTAAATAAATGGTGATATTGTTTGAACCTTTTGAGCAATTTCAGTATTTTTCATCCAAAAGTAGCCTATGAAATTGGCTTTCCAGTCTTTATAGCTTTGGTGCTACATATTTTTTAAAACATGAAATACGATGTTGGGGAGTTAGGGTTCCGCTTTTTTTTTACTCACCCTGTACTATACAGGGAAGGCCTCAGCAACACTAATTGATAAAGACACCGTGATGGTGTCGCAAGCTCCTGATACGAGCTCTGTAACTCAAGTCCAAAACAAATTATTTCTGTTCACAAGATATACAGTTGTTTGTACTAATGGTCAAACTTGATCAAATTATTTTCAAAATATCACTTTAAGTCGCTCAGTGATGTAGTGCCTTGATGCTGGGCCTTGGCCTTAAGGCTGCCTTAAGGCTGGATTTTAGAGCCTTGGCCTTGGCCTCGAGGTTTGAGGGCAAAAGCCTTGGCCTTGGCCTTGGCCTTGAGGGTTCAGGGCCTTGCAATTTTGAGTCAAGGCTCTTCAAGGCCCATAGATTTTTGCATTTTCCAGATAAATCTGTTCGAAATTTTGCTGTTACCATTTTAATCGTATTACGATGGAGGAGGGAAGCACCATATAGATTTGTGTGTTGGGCACACTTCCACTTTTATAGCATCACATGTTGTTTGTAGTAGATTTGCTGCAACAATATTCCGTACATTTGTGGGGCTAATGAGATGATCACTTTAATTGTATATAACTATGGAATAGATCTGATTGGTTGTATATGTCTCCCTGATAAGTGCTAAAGATTTGCATGTATCTGTTTTAGATAATGCTGATATTTCTGACCATGTTGGGCCAGCAAATAAAAATTTCCCAAATCACTTTCTTGGATCCCCCTTTTGTTACACTTGGGAGAATTGTGTGTCAATATAGAAGTAAATCATTATTTTGTTTAGTTAAACCATATTGAAGACCTGAACTTATACTTTAATAGATACAGTGCAGTCATAAAACGGTGTAGGCCTATGCGAGCATGTTGATTGCAATAAAAGAAATGTTGTTCTTCGTAACGAGCAATTCGTGATGATAAGGGCGGATCCAGGGGGGCCAAAAGGGGCCATGCCCCCCCCCCCAAAAAAAAAAAAAAAGAAACCATTTTTGTTGATGTGACGTCGTAATAAAGGCAGGCAATGTGTACACCACCATCTTTTCCTCAAAAAACATCGGTTAAAATGGTCAGAAATTGCCTCAAATCGCACCACAGAGCATCTCGAATCCAAATTTTTTTTTTTTTAAGCCCAAGCCGTAATTTTTTTGACCCACTTTTTTGGGGGGACCAAAATTTCTTTGCCCCCCCCCCCAAATTGTGTTCTGGATCCGGGCTTGCGTGATGATGTGTCACTCATGTGACTATAATTAGCTCTATATCAGTGGTCATTTCATAAAACAGGGCCTTGGCCTTGGCCTTGGCCTTGAGGTTTAAGCCTTGGCCTTGGCATCGAGGCTTGAGGGTCAAAGCCTTGGCCTTGAGGGTCAAAGCCTTGGCCTTGAGGGTCAAAACCTTTGCTCCAACACTGAAGTCGCTATAACTCCTCATTCTTGTGCGTGGAGACGCTTGGAAGCCGCTCTGGGCGCAGACATTTTGAATTTGTGTGCGTGTTTGTAGAACCCAATCAAAATAGATGGATTGAATTATAAAGTTACTCTAAATGCAACGCGCAAGTAGAAGATACGCAAACAACTTAAGCGCGTCATGACGATTCAAAAAACTTCACGGCGAAAAGCATCTGCAGCGGAGGGACGCGCACACGTTGCGCTGTTTGCGTAGAGCAAAATGAAACGCTCATTTGCTGATCGTGCGTTTCGGTTTTGGGCGTATCGGCTTCGATGACGCACCGATATGGAATACAAACGCAGATATGCAAATAACCGTACAAAAGCGCCGTACAAAATTTCGAGTTTTCCATAGGTTTGTGCACAAACATGGATG